CAAGTAAGTACCAAACGGTGTACAGACATACATATAGGGGCAGTCTGACAGTGTGAATTGTCCGTAACGGCGCAGGAGTCCGTACGTTCGGGATGTGAGGGACTGTCTTTCGGTCGGCGTCGACGCAGCCGCACGTGTCGCGCGACAGGTCAGATTACTCGGTATCGTCCGTTTAAAACAAAGCTCAGCAAAGGCTATCTGGCAGGCGCGATACATGGGTAATACAAAATAACCAGCCGTTCCGGACGCCAGGTCGGTGAAGTTGGTAGCGCGTTCGCCTGCCGTCCGGAGGGTCCGGGTTCGACACCCGAGAGGCACGCTTTTCCGTGGGAGTGGGCGCTCAAAAAATAGGTGCAATCGAGGCGAACTTGCGGGCAATGACAGACGGGCAACAAAATATTGACATCATCCACTGAGGGATAAGCAGACCTTAAGTAGGAACAAAGCGGGGGGAAACGAGCAGCAAGAAAACGAAACGGGGTCATAACAGACAGGCGTAAGTCATGTTACTCATGAGTGGTCAGAAAAAAAGGAAAGTTACCCTTGTTCACCGTTGATTCACAGGGCAAATCAACAGTAATACTATGATAATGCCGGTAGGTATTCTACCCACTGCTTGAGAATAAATATTATCATTGTTGTAATCCTTGGCGCACGTCCTCTCAACAGGATGTACATTCAGTCGACAACACGTTGATTCACAGGGCAAATCAACAGTAATACTATGATAATGCCTGACGGTATTCTACCCACTGCTTGAGAATAAATATTATCATTGTTGTAATCCTTGGCGCACGTCCTCTCAACAGGATGTACATTCATCCAGTCGACAACATCCGGATGCAAAACATTTCCTAAATTTCAGCGCCGCGAATAAACCAACTTTGGGATCACATTTATGATTTCCCTAGTTGAAGTTTCAGATTTGTCTAAAAAGGTCATCAGGATCTTCAGTCTCCCACCCGTTGTGTTTCCATTTAGGGATTAACGCGGTTGCACCAACTCTTTCATCTGGGTATATCCTACCGCACTGAAGCCTTCTCTAACCCCCAAGTCTATGTGTGATTGGAATATGCTGCAGAGTACTAAATCATTCAATAACCGTCCTTTTAAGAGAGTTGCTGCAACCTTCACAACCCCCGTTAACTACCATCGCCTGTGGGGGTTGCTCATCTACACCTAACTTAACTGACAATTACGAATGAAAATTAACTTCTAGGCCCTCGTTCAGAGATGATGCACCAGAGATTTGCTTCCATTTTCATATTCCGTCACGCGGAATATAGCTCTTGTCCGATACTTTTTCCAGCCCTGAATGAAAATCCCGAATTTGTTTTGTTCGCAGTCTCATATCAAGGTTATAAACTAGCGACTGATGGCATGTTCTACTACTACCTGTCCTACTGAAATATTTATTCTGCCTCATCCACAATATTGCAAATTCTATTGGCAGACGTTATTTGTGCCCATAAAATGCGCCCTCCATCTGGGTGGCATTTATTTGTCAGTATATCAGTAGCTGATTACCATTCGCCTCATCTAGTACCCGGTTCAAAGCAGTATTAGACGTTTTTTCACGCAAGCCCTTGCGTTGTCAATTCTACTGCCCAACGCTGAAGACTTAGCACAGTGCTACACCTTTTTTGGCTTGCGACTCTAAGGTAATTGGCAGCCGCTTAATGACAAAGACAAAACCGACATAGGAAGTCTGGGAGTGAGTCTCGATCCTATGCAAATCTGTGAATCACTCTCGTCTTCACCGCAGCTAGCTGCTATGCGGATCTCAGTCCAGACACGGAACCTGAAATTCCGTGCGTCTGGTATACCATTATTGCACATACTTAATGGACCTACCAGTTGCATTTTCACCAACCCTGCCGGTAAGTTGGACGAGTGTTTTGTCCCTCAGATTAAATAGTCCAATTACATTCCAACTGGAGTTGGGGTCTGGAACTGTTGCACGGTGCCTCAAACCTATGAGTTCCATTCCCCCTGCTCAGCAGTAGTTGGTGTGCAGGACAATCTTCCACTAGCTGTTATCTGCACGGAATCTCGGACACAGTGAACGTCATCGTTGTATACCCTCAACAAGTGCTCGAGCTGGCAAGTTCATTTCAGAATATCGGCACCTTAAAATGCTGCGCTAAATGCTCTTTCCTTTCTTGCTTTGGAGCAAGCCACAGGAGCTGTCAACTAAGAAGAATAAACCCGATGGATGAAGCTAGATTAGACGTTTCAGTCTAACATAACATCTTGTGACCTTGCGATGATCGAGAGAACGCAGGCCTCGCGTGGACGCCGACGCTATGGGCGCTTCTTTCCGTAACAGAAGACAACGGCTCATAAGCGAACTCTTCGAAGCAAGGAAGTCCTGGTGATGCTGTTTTATACCTACATGCAGCCTATACTGATTGTCCCCTCTGACGCCACTCCAGGACCTTTTGGCGATGCACTGTGGATGGAATCCCGCTGCGTGGGTCCGATCCTCTCCTTCTCGGTGTGGTCCACCGTTGTCTCTCAAGTACTCCAAAAGATGACCAAATCTTCCGAAAACACTTGAGCAACATCCCTTCAGCTATCATGTCACTCATCTCTCACCAGCAGGTGATATCAGCAGCCACGGGCCTATTTGATGGAGCGGAAGCTCGTAAGATCAACTGGACATTTTGCAGCGGCGCTGACAAAAGAGGTTCATCAGAGCTCTTGGGTCAGGTGATAATAAACACGCCACTGGGACATAGTGGCCACTGTGTGCCGACCTTTGATTTTATCCGCTGCCGGGCCAGAATTCCCGAACCTCAAACGAAGATTCGAATCATCCCAATTTGCGGACTTCCCATTCATGTGTTTCTCAAACAAGCTGAACTGGAGCCAACTTCAGTGGAAGACCTATGTGGGACCACTCTTCAGATAGCTCACGAGGCTACGTGGTGCTTGTCCTAAAAAACAGCATGCAGTCGTATGGGCCGCAATTCACTCAAAAGAATTACGCGTCTGCTGAAAAAGAAGTCACAACTATTTTCCAAAAATTGACTACCAGTGACACAAGTTGGGCTAGCATTTCGTAATATGCAGAACCACTGTAAATAAGAAATCCACCATCGGAACACATGAAAAACCGACATATTAGATCTCACCCGGAAAAACAACATATGCTGTCTAACTACATGAGACACCGCCGCAGAAATGATCCATCAGTGTTCACTTTTAGGGACAGGAACAGGGATCTCGCGAGTGAGCAAATGATGGGAGGTGAGGTCTGTGGAGAACACTATGTGGGTCTATATTCAATATCGGCGTCCCTGTCACATATAATCTTGTCGAGGCGCAACTACGAACGGCCTCTACCCGATTTAGTCTTTGAGGGGGGATATTTATCAACACTTGCGCAAAATCAACCCGTTATGCGCGTTGGAGTCCGACGAAGTTCATTCAAGTATTCTGAAGGAAATGTCGTTCACACTGGCAAAACACTTCCACCAGTCGCTTGACAAAGACCACCTTTCCTCAGCTTGGAAGCAAGCTATTGTCACGCCATCTACAGAACTGGTGATGAGCTACAGGTCTATCAGCTTCACTAGCGTGCCTAGCGAGTTGGTGGAACGCATTCGAAAGGAAGCCCTTCTAGACCACCATACTTAAAAGAACTTGATTTCTCCAGCTCAACACCGATTTCTTCCTGACCGTTCTTGCGTGACGACCATGATCGTGCTGTGGACTGCTTGAGCGATGCTAAAGGATGCCGAAAATTTCGACTTTTCAAATGCATTCGATCGATTGTCACAGCTTCACTGCTCTACGAACTCGTGTCTTATGGGATTCAAGGGAAAATCCTACACTGGATCGAGGCGTTCTAATGGGACAGAATATTACGAGTGAAACTAGCACGACCTATTATTCTCCGGTGCCGGTCCGCTTTGGGGTTCCTGAAGGCTCCGTTTTGGGACCACTACTATTTCGAATATAATCAACAATCTACTAGATGTTCTTAGAAGTCCATGTCTACTTTTGCGGACGCCTTGAAATCCTGGAGTTCTAATGCCAGTGCCTTCCAAATGAATATGGACGCCGTAAAACAGTGGTCGTTCGACTGGCACCTCCCTCTGAATGACGAAAAGTGCGTCTATATGTCACCCTGAGGAGACTCGACAGGCAAGTTTGTCATGCGCGATGAGAATGGAACAGAAGACATCACTAGGATAGATGCTAAAAAGGATTTGGTTATCTGGCTCTCTTCAAACACATCCTTCTCAGTGCACCATGAGGAATCGGCCCAAAAGGCATTCACCGTTCTACGAATGGTTCGGCGCACTTTCTCCCGTAGTACTCGTATGCACTTTCAAATACTCTATATGGCCTACGTCCTACCGCTTCTGGAATACGTCGACCAATTTGTCAATTCAAGAGACACGAAAGACAACCATCGTTAAGCGTGTCCAGCGAGATGCCAAGAAAATTGTTGCCTGCCCTAAATCCGCGGACTATGACTATGCTGTACTTAGCCTCTTCCCCCTAGAATATCGTTGACTTCGGGGAGACCTCATTCTTACGTATGCTTTGTTAGATCAAGGTTTGAACAATAGATTTTGCACCACCTATCCAGCTGACACACGGCGGGGACATGGTAAGATTTTCATGCTCAGGGCATATAGGTTTATTGGGCAAGACCTTTTATCATTTCGGGTAATTGCTGCGTGCAATAACCTTCCTCCGAAGGTTGTAGGCGCCTTCTATAGAACCCAGTTGAAGTCATTACTAGACACTATTTATGAGAGTACTCGCGCTGGCGATCTTACTGCCCCGCGCTGAGAAATCGAAGAGTAGTGCTACACCATTTTGTAACGTGTGCCTTCCAGGTTAACGGCAGCCGTTGACTGACAAGAACAAAGCGGGCTCGGGAAGCTTGGAAGAAAGTCTCGGTCCTGCGTGTGGATAAGTGAATCGGTGTATCCAAAATTTTGCTGAACTTGAGTGACCTTGAGTTGTTTTAAGTGTTTGTACCGCGTGTCTCGACTTTTCGCGATGAAGCTCGTTAGGTTGGTTTCTTCTTTTCGCCTAGATTGAGTCGGTTAGGAATGTTCTCCTCCGATATTTTCCCCCATGAGCTGTCCATTTCAGTATTTCCATGTCCGTTAGATTAGTGTTAGATTGGCGTTTAGATTATAGCAGATTAGCGGTGGGGAATGATGTGGGCAAAACATTTTCAAAAATTTGGCTTAGACCTTACGCGTCGATAGGCAACTGGTAGAAGTTGAACTTTACCACTTGTTTTCCGTTTTTCAGAAACCCAAGACGAGCTAAATCCGTAGCTAAGCGTTGCACATGTCCACTACTGTAGCACATTCGTAATCCCGTATGAAATAACTGGTGGACGTACTCCCGAAATTGTCTGACTTGTATGCCGTACTGCTCCTTGAAGCCTACAGTTTTCAGTTGAGGGGAATGTCCGGTCATCTTAACGGTGCACTCCCTGTGCGCAGTTATCCCGTATCAGAGTCAGAGGGGTTTACCCTGATTTCGCCTTCACTGTTGATTACGCATGCCTTTTCAGACTGTCTTCCCAAAACAGTATGTGTGCATACTTTTCGCCGCTAAGGAATTAATGCCAATCTGGCCTAGTCGATATGAAATTGGCGCTCGTTCCCTTCGGAGCTTCTGGCTTTGCGTCCGTCAGTGAAGGACAGGATTGAGCCTCCCTCAACGTCGCTTGCATGTAATACATAACGGTCCCGAAACAGACTTGCGGGATTCAGTGTTATCATAAGCTTGAAATAGCTCAGTGGGAAATGCGCGAACTTACCGACCGGAAGCTTTGTGGTTCGAACCCAACTCGGGTGCTCCTGTCTAGGTTTAGGCAACCTGGTAGTATCACAGCCCTTGTGCTTGTTTTGGCGGCGTGGCACCTATGAACCGAAATGTTACAGATGAATGATTTATTATCACTTGCCATTGAGGAGGAGTAATTTTTACCGATTTTGACCCAGAACTTTTGGTGTGAAATAAATCCCGCTGTCTACCGCTGTATTCTCCGATGTGGAAAACTTATTCGGAAGACTGCAGGTTCAACTGACATGGCATCCAGGATAAGTCACTCGTGTTTTTCTCTTGGTAGTCTGTCAACAGAAGCGAACATATTGCTGGCACAGGGACGGTTCATTATGAATCGGTGTTGCCCGGGGATACTGGTTTGTTGGCAATTAGGTGGTTCAGAACACTGCTGCAGAATGCGTTCCACCACTGCACGGTTTCCCGGCTAGTCTAAAGCTAGCTAGTGCCAGACGTTCATTGGACAGCAGTGATATTCCGATTCAGTGGAATGGGCTCCGCATCACGAGACTTTTTGGAACAAATTACAGACTGTTTACCAGCTGAATCGACGTTCCTTTTGATTTTTCGGATTGGAACCGTCGGTCGTGGGGGGAGTCAATCGAATCAAATTTAACCGGCCGTAGATATGCGCCTTAGGGACCCAACATACTCACATGGTGTGAAGGATGGGACCTCAAGGTTATAAAACAGCACGCTTCGTCACGCGACCTTGCGCAACTCCATAATCCATTGAGTCATACCGTTGTTTATGCATGCGGCGCTCACGGAGCCTCATGCCGAGTTTGTCAATGGGTATAGGTCCATGGCTGGAACATGTCTGTCGAAGGCTAATTCGATTTCGGCGGATGGCTTATTCTTTACGAGTCTTTTTTCATAAAATATCCAATGGGGATACTATGCGAATATACCGATGATGCATCGGATTTTCGTAGTAGTTCGTGGAGGAGATAATTAACGGATAGTGTCCTTGCGTTCAGGGTCGGGCCTTATGATACTCTGAGAGGCAGATGACTTTTGAAGTAGTGACGGTCCTGTTGTCGGTGAGTGTGATTCCGTACTTTTTTGTAGCTTTTAAAAGCTATTGAAGATTGAGGTCGTGTTCCTCTTGGGTATTCACACATTGTATATGCAGGCACACGCGCTTTTCTGCTTCTCGGACTTAATAATACTGTCAGTAGTTCGCTGGAAACATGCTATACCGTCTGTGATACCGGACGGATGCGGCGAAACTGAAATAGACCACAACTGGCTTCGAATGCTGTAGAAGGTCGGATGCTGAGAATGGGATATGATGATGAGCAGAGAAGAGGTCTAATGCACCGTAGACTTCGATCCTTTTGTCCATTCGTGGCAGGGAGTAAGCTACCAGGTGTATGAACCAGTTGATAGTCTGGCTGTAGTCAACAGCCATCCGGCGTTTGTGATTGCATTCTTAGTAACCAAAACTCGCACCCTCCAGGGAGCCGTTGACGACTCGGTTGAGACTTCTTACAATAAGCGGTCAACTTAGGTGCGAATGAATTTTTCACCATCCGGATGATTTCTTGATTTGGTGATAGTAGGCTTGCAGTCTGGGGTTAAGTTGGCGAGAATTGATGATGATTCAACGTTTACTGCCGTTAGACGCAGATATTGAATACATCACGATCCCCACCGAATGAAATTTTCGTCTTGCTATTATTATACCCGAGAAAAACGTCGGTGCAGAGGATTGGCGTTACAAGAATCTCTAATTCATTGTACTACATACTTCTGCATTCGATGGAAACATGCTTACTCGGTCTGACAGGACAGTGGTTTATTCGCCATCTTGATGACTAAGGTGGCATACGTTTTCCAATTATTTAGTTTCACGACATCAGAACAAGTGAAACCACGAGAAATTCCTGTATTGACCAGAATACAGGGAGCGGTGCCACTGACCAGCAGTTGTGATGGCGCGTGCCAGGGAAGTAGGTGCTGCTGCAACGAATAACAGCGATAAAGCGGCCTTCACTGTACAATATATATGAAAGTTGGCGGTATTTTTTGAATGGCACACGCAGTGGAGGTGACCGCGTTCACCTCAAGGATTACAAACTGCTTTTCCAGCGAGGCTTTTTGAACAAGTATGTCTATCATGACCACAGAAATAACCTGTTTGAACGGATAGTTCCAGGTAGCTCAGTGAATAAGACGCGAAGTTGCTGGTCGGAAGGTCCGCGTTTCGACTGCTCCTGTCTCGGGCAACCTAGCGGTATTTCAACCCTCATGGTAGCTTCGGGTGTTGTGGTAGGTAGGCACCTAAAGGGTTTTAAAGTCATACGACTGTCTGAACGGACTTTACAGGAGCTGTGGTTGGACAATCACGTGTTTCGGGATTCTTTGAGGTGGGCGGAATCGTAAAGCAGGTGTAGGTTTGGTACTAAGGTGATTGCAACTATTTGGGAGTCAACTCGAGGGATCCAGCTGGTTTGTATGCTTTAATCCAGAGTGATTTCGCTCTGTGCTAGTTTTTCTTGAATGGAAGAAGACGCCAGGCCGTTGATTATAGCATGATGCACACATTCATCCAGATATTCTGTTGCAGGTGCTGAATTACACTCGCAGTCTTTGGGTGATGATGTCAGTTTTTGTATGAACTGATCAATATCCCGCCCCTTCTCGTGCTTACTGCTTTGCCACCATGGATGCATCAGATCAGCACTCGCGACCGACGTTCGCTCACCCCATGTTTGACACTACAGTCGCTGGGTAAAAGACTCCTCAACATCGAGTGCCTCCTTTGATAGTAAGTGACGTGATCCAGGGGCATGACCCTTATGCTTTGTAGGTGCAAAGCCTATACCAAAGGACCAGATGAGTTTAGTCACTTCATCCAGAAACCGATGCTTTTATTTCCTTGTCGAAGACAAGAGCGATATCGTCTGCTCATCTCGGACGACATTTGTCAGTAGCTATTTTAGCACTAGGGTTTCGAAGACCTGGCGTTCGTCCGAACATCTCGTTCACGAATGTGGATAGAATGGATAGAGTGGTCATCATTTTCGGACACCACTTTGTGTGAAGAACCTTTTGTAGGGGTTAACATATACGTTGAGGCCGGCAAGTCTGAGAACACAAAGAATTATATTCACAAACGCTTCCCTAGAAAACGGAGGGATAAGTGACTCCGGACGAGCGCACGATTAGGATCCCTGTATGCGTTCCAAAACGAGCGGCAGTCGGTTATTGATCCGCGCTACCATATATGGTGACGTGATCAATTAAGGTCTCTGGCTGACACGCTGTTGGAGGACAGCATGTAGTCAGACGACTCAAGTTATTTTTAGAGTTAGCGCCGCATAGAAACAGTCTGCGAAACAGTACATAGCTGGTGTAGTCATTCCTCATCCAACCCACTCGGCCATCCAATCGAGTGTTATATGCGACGACTGAGCACTTGTTCATTCAAATCTCCGCAAACCAACTAGAAATCGCACAACGAGAATTATAGGCACAAGCCATCCAGGATAGGGTATGCGTACTCCATTTTGTGCATAGTTAGAGACGCTGCAAGATATGACTGCTGATCGATGTCAATGTCTCTGGAGTCACCCGGGAGTGATCGTAGTAGGCTAGCACTGAGTCCATTTCCTATCCACTTAGATTATTCTTACTTTTGAGGCTTTCAGATAACTCTTACGGTTTTATGGCAGCTGTGCACCAGTGTTGAATATTGATGTGTTTTCGATGATGGCGACTGATCGCTTCTTATGGACAGCTCGTGTGGATTCCGATCACGCACTTGTTCGTTGTTGTTTTTTTATCTTCGTGGGTGTGTGCACAGTGTTACTTCTTCCCCCGGCAGCTCACTGGTAGAGTATCTTCCTTAACCGTCCTGTTATTTTACCAGGCTGCATTGAAATCAAAACCATGGATAGTCGCCTGATGGTTACCGATTCTCAAAGGCTAGTTTTGGGGCTTGATTTAACCTTTAATTTGGAAGCCAACTTCTTGCTGGACGCCCTGAATGCATCGGTCTGGATTTGGTGAATTTTTGTCTCGTGCCTCGTTACTCTCGTTCCGGGCTTTGGGATTGACGCGATTTTAGCATAGAGTACGTTAGGTCACCCACTGCATGCATCATGTTTCCGTGTTGGTGAAACTTTCATGTAAAGATCATGACGGCGTAACAACGCGATACGATAGCACCATGGTCAAGTTGAGCACTGGGGGATATTCCTGACCTGGGTGGAGGCTGTGCGTGATCAGAAACTCTGTAGAACACAGCACGTAACCAACTGTAAAGGTGAACTTGCTGTCACTTTGTTGCCGGACTATCCAGCTAGCATTTGTGTCATGTGCGCTGCCTGTGTTAAATAAGATTGGGAACTTATGCTGAGCCGATCCCGCTGATAGTGTCTTACTCCAACATGGTGCTCAGATCTGATTCGGATGGTGTATGTACCTCATCGTTGACAGTTCCTCTTAGGGACATGAGGATTCTTGCAATGCGTCCCTTTTCCAATTTTTTCTGCGGTCCATAATAATCGTTCAGCTGCATCACCCTTTCGGCACCTAGCTGCCACGCCACCCGAAGGAAGCACGAGTGCTAAGATACTGCGAGGTTGCCCAAGCCTAGATGGGAGCAGTAGGGATGCAGAGCTTGGGTTCGAACCACTCACCTTCCGGTCTGTAGGTTAGCGCTTTAATCACTGAGCCATCTGATGTGCTATTTTTCGCGATGACGATGCTAATTAAGTTTGGCATAAATCAACTGGTCGTGAGCATGTGTGTTTACCTCGCCCACCTGACATTCAATTACCTGGAGGATTTTCGATAGCCAGTTCTGTTGAGATGTACCCGTCTTCTGTCCCCGACGTTCTGCACGGGAAGCTTGACCTACGTTGGCTGGTCAACACACATAGGGTCTATCGGAATGCGAGTGCCATTAACGTCTTTGACCATGGGTCTCTGTACAACACTGCTTCCGATTCAGAAAGGTTGGTCAATGATGTAGGTATTCATCGCCTCCATCATTACCGTTACCATTTGCTTCTAATACGTTCAATTTAGATGGAAATTGACTCAGGGAATTAAGTGTAGAAGGAACTTTTGTTTGATACTTTCGCTCAGGCGTTATGTTTACTCATAGGCTGGACTACAGCCTAGGAGCTGAATAATCACCCCCTGTTTGCTCTCTGTGGGTCGCTTCCCGGTTGAGGTGGGTTGTATTGTTGATACGCCTGCGAGAATTGGCCACTTCACACGAAGGATCTGAGTTGTTGCTGCCAATGATGCGGTTGAAACATGTTTTTTTGTCTCTCAAGAGGCCAGTCCTTGATAAAAATATAAAAGATAGTCGTTCAGCTGTAACATGCTTTCTGTGCCTAGCTACCATGCCACTCTAAGGAAGCACGAAGGTTGGAATACTGCCAGGTTGCTCAAGCCTAGACAGGGGAAGTCGAGAGGTAGAGGTCGGGTTCGAACCACGGACCTTCCGGTCAGTAAATTCGCGCTCTAACCACTTGAGCCATCTCGCCAGTCATTGGTTGTTCGCTTTACATTTGGAAAGACCCTCTGCATATGTAGCGCTTTTGTAAAGTGCAACATGGGACATTTGATGGCGGGCAATGTACAGGAATTCCAGAAGACCGTTTCTGGTAACATTCTGCATAAAACTTTGCAAGATCTTCTCTTAGTAAAACAGAAGTATGGCTTTCTCCCACTATATTGATGGGGTATCTTTGAGGAAGGATTCCTTAAGAGTAGCCTTGTGCTCACAGCAATCAACGTGTGTCGAATTTTCGATAATCTAGTCAAGAAGTTATTACCCCTTTTAAGTGGTGGAGAACGCCAAATACGTAAGCAGATTTCACTCGACTTTCCGCCAGTCGTTTATGTCTTCGGCACTTGCTTCCAAAGCTCTGGACGATACATTAATTTCGGATTCCAGAGCAAGGTGTTACAGTAGCAATGGCCTTCTGGGTACTCACCTTTTGGTTCATCTATGATGTCATGGACGTCCGGATGCTGCACACGGTTAAAAATATCGTAGAGCGAGAAAGTGCATGTGAATGGCTCCGGCACACTGCTGAGTATTTTTGTTGGCGCGTCGTTGGGGATGGCGCATTCGTGTTGGAACCATGACAAGCAACCACTACACGTCATTCGATTGTCCATAATCGATGGAAGGCTGTTCCACCATCTGTTCTCGGTAATCGGATTCTGGGCGATGGGCTATCAGGCCCTGTCGAGAAAGCCACAAAGGCGGATCTAGTTTTGGACCTAAGTACGCATTAGTTACTTTAATTGGAGATGCAGTTGACAAAATGGCAAATAAGTTCTGTAGGCTCAAACATTCTCGTCGATGGTCGACACTCTCACAGTTGGGTTTTGGGTTCGGGTGTGAAGTCCACACTACATGCCTACCTACTTACTATCTGTTTTGCAGTTAACAGGGTTCTCGGATGAATCGTGAGTTAAGCGGGAGGGCTTGTGAACAAAATTTAGCGACGCAATTTGCAGCTGTTGTTTTGTGGGCAGCTGAACTGGGACGCCTTCAGGTCTTCGATAACCGTTGTCTCAAAACCATAGATCTAGTAGGCTCATACCAGAAAACCCCTAACGAGACAGTTGGAAAGTGATTGTTCGGTTGTGCAACAGGGATTTCAATCGAAAACTGTCCGCTAACAAAGCTGCGGTCGCCCGGTCATCCCGAATGATTGTCTACCCAAAAAGCACCGTTTTCCGTGCCCAGTTCTCAGGGACCCAAGGGGAGCTGTGGTCAGCCTTATACCTGGACAGAGTTAGCCTTTTTATGCAGTGTCTTAATCAGGTGTTGAAGTGAAACTTGAGGCTTGCACCCATTCTTCCAGTAGCATCACGACAATCTCCCGTCTGTAGTGAAATTCAAGTCCTGTCGGGTCTTAGCCTATTTGGGAAACAGTGTAAGCATTGTTGACCTCCGGTGCCAACTTGTGCTGGACCTAATGGACCGGTTAATCCCGCAAGTCGCTGACCGGTCCCCTAGGTCGAACCGATCGATGACATAGTTCCTGATATCTGAGGCACCGGTATATGCATTCCTACCGCTGTAGATCGGTTAGGTATAACTACTATATGTCCGTTACAACACTTACTGGAGTTGATCACAGAATGCTTTTTGATGTACCCAGCGATAAGCCGACCACTTGTTTTATTATTTTTGAATTTATAATTCAATACATACTGGTATTGTGGGCACGTTTGTGTGGACGAGTGTTACTCCATCGTGAACTGCTTGCTGCTGCGGCACAGTATTCAGCAAACAGAGACTGACCCAGATGGCTGTGGCTCGAATAGCTTGCCCTTGATTTGGTTGAGTGACGTGACAATATGTCAGTCTCATTGGCACAGTAATTGGAAAAAAGTCGCGAGGTGTTAACGTTTCATTAGCTTTCAGCAGTCTTAGGACTCAACATGCTTCATTTATGTGTCAGGTGTATGGTAACAGACAATGAGGAAAACGACGTTTTGCTAGAGTGGAGGGGTTAGGGTCAGTTTCAAGGTAGGTATGAGTCTATGATCAATTCTTTTTGCGCACACAAAAGCGGCCTTCTATGGTTGGTAAATGTGGCTCCACTAATTGCTTTATTTCATTTTAATTGGCTCAGCTGTAACACCCTTTCGCTACCTAGCTGCCTTGCCGCCAGAAGGAAGCGCTAGTTGCTCGTAACCTTGGGTTCGAATTGCACAAGACATGGATGGCGTGTTTAAGGGAAGCATCTGGCGATTGATGAACTCGAAGTCCGCATGGTCGATCTTTCGGTGTGGTTGTTTGACTGGCTGGTAGCAAACTTTTTGGAAGATGCCCGACTACTCTTTGTGAGGCATTTGATGCGTTCTGTAAATAGGGGTAAATTGACGTATCACATGTGAGGCAGATAAGTCGGACGAACTCGGACCACCAGCCCGCACTGCGATCTTCGTAGCGTTTGAGGCAACCTGAACTGTGCCGCCGAATGTGTGTCTGAAAGCTGACTTGACCTTATGACAGATGTCTGTTACTCTATGTTCACGGTTGGATCCAAGCGCATGAACTTATGCTTTCTGAGTACGACTGATCTTTCTATTGCTGGTCTCCGAGGTTGGGCAGCATAACAGTAGCTCAGCTGTTGCACTTCTTTCCAGGCTTCGAATCAACTATGCATACGGGATAATGCAGATGAACGACTGAATTAGGTGTATTAGCTCATCTTTTACATTTTTTCTAACTCAGACTATCCACTGGATGAAGTCATTTACTAGCTACTGACCCCGGGTCTATCCCTATCAGCACTTATAGCTTGACAACTGATGCCCTCCTGACACATTTCTGGAATGATCTTTTGAGGTGAGGAATGGTTGTATCACCGAGTTTGACGAATTCAAACTGAGGTGGTTGGCTGAAAGTTATCACAGTTGTCTTATTCTGTTACTGAGACAACTGTGATAACTTTCAGCCAGGCGAGTGGCTCAGTTTGGTTAGAGCGTGATTCAAACTGAGGTGGTTGGCTGAAGGTTATCACAGTTGCCTTATTCTGTTACTGAGACAACTGTGATAACTTTCAGCCAGGCGAGATGGCTCAGTTGGTTAGAGCGTGAATTTACTGATCAGAAGGTCCGTAGTTCGAACCCGACCTCTGCCTCTAGACTTCCCCTGCCTAGGCTTGGGCGACCTGGCAGTATCCCAGCCCTCGTGCTTCTTTCGGGTAGCATGACAGCTAGGCACCGGAAGGGTGTTACAGCTGAACGATTTTTTTTATTCTGTTACTGCTTTCTTCCCGTCTGTACCCTTTTGTCTCTTCGCATGTGCCAGGTTTCTCATGAAACTCTCCCATGAGACGGTCACCATGGAGCTGAAAAACGGCACCCAAGTTCACGGTAGCATAGCTGGCGTGGATGTGTCGATGAACACCCATCTGCGTTCCGTAACAGTTACGCTGAAGAACCGAGAATCCATGAATCTGGACACACTAACCGTGCGTGGCAATAATATTCGATACTTCATCTTACCCGAGAGTCTTCCGTTGGACACACTGCTGATCGATGAGGGTCCACCAAAGCGTAAACCCGGTCGTGAAGGTAATTAATACCCTTTTACACCTTGGAAGTGTCCTGTGTTGCTGTTTGAACTCGTGGTTTCCAATTCGGAATAACTTGATTATGGGCTGTCTCGAGCTGAATACAATTGCTTTTATGTATTCTACTGAGTTGATGATCCTTAGTAGTCGCGTTATAAGCTGCTGCTTAGTATTCTTCATGTCTTGGTTGCCAGCTTTTCAAGTCAGGTTTCACCCAAATTCACCGATGTATCTGAGGTGATTCCTGGCCGATTATCACAATCATATAGAGTATGCCTTTCAGAGGAAAATGTGTACCGACAACTGAAGATGTGATACAAATGCGCGGTCCAATTCGTCCCATTCAGTTTTGCACCTGACGACCTAGGTTTGAATAAGCCTCGTGGAAATCCAAACTAGTGTTGGTAGACTTCCTACTCGCTTTTATTCAGTGCATTCTTTCTGTCTGTTAATGATTGCTCTAATATATCTGGTACGATACTGCTCAAAATATCTTTCGTTTGAATTCACTCATGGTTGCTCCTGTATAGAGTTGGGACCGTCTTAGCACTTGTCAGTGCCCCGGGTTCCACAGCTTAGTAAAGTGATTTTTTGACCGTTGTTAGTTGTTTAGTTGGAGATCGTCTTCCTGCAGTGGGGCTGTTCACAACTGAAGACGTACCTTTTCATACACCAGCTAACTTGAAAAACACTTCACTATGCTGTTACGCTGTATGACGCAGACGGTTTGTACAAAACAATTCATTTATTCATGCTCATTATCCTTGTTTGTAGTCCCGCCAGTCATTCGAGGCCGTGGGCGCGGTTTACGCGGTCGTGGACGAGGAGGGCCTCGCGGACGCTCACGCGGTCCTCCCATACGGTATTAGGCGAGCACAAGTCGGCGGAAGGCGCATTTTACAACTGGCTGCTTTTTTTTAAATGGTTCCCCCCGAACAGGTGCTAATAAAACACGTTTTGTATATATACGAATGTGTTGTCTCGTCTTTTGCTGTAATTAAGAAAGGCGCTACTAAAATGGTTCCATGCAAAGTTCTCAGTCTCACGTGCATATAGCATGAGCATATAGCTGTACACACGCAAAAAACGCGAGCGCAGACTTGTAGTTCGGGATAGGTAGGTAGGGAGGACTGTAGTTTTTAGGCGGATCTATAAGAGGAGGTCATATGTACATGTGAAAAGAAAACTAAGGTAGAAGCATGCACGTACACGAGTACTATATCGTAGGTGAATAAGTCAGTGCGTGGTCAGGTGGATGGACGGAAACGTGAGCGGGTTCGGTGTCCACTAACGGAGGGCAGTACTGTTCCGCTTGGCTGAATGGAGGGAGAAAACAGGAATAATGTTAGTGAAGGAAAGTTTTGATTTACTGCTTAGTGACTTCGCCACTTTTCCTTCATACCCTGTTGGTCTGTGCAACGGTTCACAGTTGCCATGCTTCAGACTTACATAGGAAACCAGCAGCAAGAGCTGGCCAATGTAAATGATCTCAATGCTTTTATACCCGGTCAACGTGTTGGGAACTCGGTGAGACAATTTACTAGAGAAGTTTCGTACAGTACCGTTTGGTTACATCGACAACCCACGAAGCTATACACGAATGCATAGTGCATCCAGAATCTCGCACTAGTCTGACCAGTGGATAGGGGTATGACAATCTTCCAGCCTGGAACGGGTGTGCTTCCTAAGATTTTGACTACTGAAAGAGCTACGCCTACGAATGCTACTTGTGGTGAGGTACTGTAGCCAAGTGATCTGTGTTTGGATGCCGCGGCGGTATCACCAGCTCGCGCATAAGCTCAACCGCCTAGCATGCTTAGCTGCTGGTGGTAATGTGGGGTGCAAGAGCAGCCACATTCCTAGGGCAACAAAACAAGTTATCCGTTTATCCAAGATAGACGTTCCTCGAGAAGCTAAGCTCAAGTGCACCCTTATCTTTCCACGTGGTTGGATGCTTCCTCTAAACAGGCATCCAGGTTACGATAGAGGCTCTCTGCTGTTGTCAGTTGGCCATGAAATGGGCAACAGATCTCTATGATTCAAAAACCGACTGTGCAAAGCCCGGGTAGCTGCAGTAGGGCCTACCGCTACTACATTTTGGAAGGTTGGGCTTCCACTTATCATAAGATATCATCTCTTTGGTGATCAAAATATCCGATCGTTACTTGTTGAACTATGCAGCAGTCGAATGACACTTGGATCGCATGCGGGTAAAGGTTAGGTGTTTCTGCCCGGCGTAACTAGAGTACCTTCATGAAGGTCTTTTGCAGATAAGCATCCCTGCGTTCACCACCCGGCTGAACAATTATATATATATATATATATATATCTGCAAATCTGGCCTGGTTTATATGAAATTTGGTGGCATGATGGCAAGGTAATCTCAGTTTCGTTGACTTTAAGAGGTCGGATTAGATTAAAGGAATGCCACTGAATGCGTTCACCATCCTTGAATCAACGCGGTTTACTGATCATCTCCGGGTTACAGTTTAACTGACCAGGACAAAAGAAGGCCCAAAAACAGAAGTGAAGGCCAGCATCACGCACCGAAGATTATTTGTGCTTTCAGACTGTTAGCACTTACATGCGCTAGTCTTGTGCACTAGATACTCGACTTAGGTTAGCTCAGGGCCCTCAATTGGCAATTTGGTCCGGGCTGGGTATATGTTACCCAGGTTCCCCTCAATCATTTCGGAAGGCAGGATACTTTCAAATTGAGACCGAGTTGAGAAGATGGATATTTGTGAACTACAGAGACATTGTTGAAGGAAAGTGAGTCAAAAGGAAAGCGAGCTCACCTATTTCATGTCGGATCTGAAACTGAGGGGGCGTCTACTTCCTACTCCTCTTTGAATCACTTTGGCCTGAGAATAAGGCACTTGGGAGTTTGGCGGGTTTTATCAGCTTGGCCAGCAGACCATCCGCACTTGGAACCCCTGCGGTGGCACCTAGAGACCCTCGGCGGTTCGGGATCAGATCGAAACTGGCCATATCTGTGGATAGCCGTGATGAACGCCGCCGTCTGTTATGCACATTGATGAGACTGGGACGTTTCTTCTTGGGTTGACGACTGTCGATGGCCTGTGATTTGCGCTCCGGATGCTGGCGACTCTTTCGACCTGGAATCAACCTTTCAGCCAGTGAAGCGTGTGAGCAGGTTTTGGCAGGTTGGGTAATGGGGACAACCAACCGGTTTGGGGAACTCCGTGATCGTTCTGCCACTTCTTTTACTTCTGTCTCCGGTGCTGCAACCACAAGATCCTCGTCTTCCAGGTCATCTTCCTCGTCGTCAAATCCCTCGATGTAGAAATCGGGATCCTACAAAATGTGCGGACATTTTTTAGTGCTCTGATTATGGAGGAGTTCGGGAGTAAAACGGGTGTGTAATGCACATCAGAATCCGACGTAAAGTTTGGTACTCTATTAATGACGATTTCATTTCAATATTGCCAGGGTATAGATGCAGTTGACTAGCGACCGGGATAGATGGTGGCCAACGCTTAGAGAGACCACCTTTATGAACCAGGTTACTAGTTGTCACTTAGTGCGACCAATGTATCCAGCCAAACATGGATGATGAAATTTGAGCACACAAGTGAGTCTTCACAAATAGGGATTCGATCAGGAATACAAGCTAACGATGGTAATCCAGAGGGATTTCTAGAGAACGCGAACCTCAGTCAAGTGTCACCACCGTGACGGTTCCAAAAATGGGATTATTCGTCAGCAAACAGACGTTCGTTGTGGGGGGTTCACTCATCACACAACTGGCATCATTACAATCGTTTGTTATCCAGTCAAATTCAAGATCTCGTTACTCAACCGACAGTCGTTCAGTGGCTCAAACGTGAGTCGTGTTCAGCTGGATACACGTGTCATTTTGAGGCAACTAAAATCTTATATCAGAATCCCTACAAGTGTGGTTAATTAAAGGTTAACAAGAAAAAGGCACCGAATCAACCTTGAAAGTTCTGGTAGCTTTAAAGCACAGAGTTTGTGCAAAAGATATCCCTCCTGTAGTTTGTCGAGCGCGTTTTTGTCGTTTTTATCGCCTTTACGACCCTAACGTGTGTGAGCTAACTAGTTTACTCTCAATTTAGTGTTTCCGTAAGCAAGTAGATGCACCAAGATGCTTGCACCACAGGCCATTCAAAGGTGAACAGGCCATTCAGCACTTGTTTTCCGTCTTTATCTTGTACTTCCTCGCAGAACTCGGCATTTGTTCGCGGCTCCCTTATTTGGTTCAATGTATTTTATCCTGCGAATTTAAGAGCATGGAAGAGAACGATGCGAAAAACTGTTCGGTCTACAATTACAATACTCTTTACCCACAAATACCACGAAAGTAATCGAAAGCCGTAAAAACTGAGACATCATCAGCAAATCAGATGTTTGCGCGAATTCCGTCGTTGTGGGGAATTACTCGGGTAGGAATCAAGGCACGAGCAAAACAGATCACGCATTCAGTCCGGTGGCGGTGCCTGGAAAACACGAATGGAAAATAAATTAAGCTACTCATGAGTAGCTCCACTAAGTCCGTAATTTTTTGAACCAGGCAATCCGCTGGTTGTACAGTCAGCTATGGGTTATGGTCGAAAGGAGGCTTTGAGGGGGCATCAAATAATTTCATCTCTTCGGATTACAGATGACTTTGCGGAGACGTTAACCACAACCAGTTAAATATCTTGACGAATTCCATTTCGATTGCCGACGAACGAAACACCCAACAAGACCCTCAGAAGTGAATCAGAAACCTGTTGGAAGGGCCGAATGACAAGTCATCCAACCGGGAATTTGTGCTGGAAACATCCGAAACATAGATTTTTACGAAGCTAAGATCCTCCATTCAGTTACGATCTGCATCAAAATAGGTTGAGACCTTTGACCCGTGATGACTGAGAAAGGCGATTCCGTAGGCTTTTGATAGCCGAGTGAAAAACTTAAAAGACGATCTGTGTCATACATCAGATTAGTTGGAGGCCCTGTTGTTTGGTGCACTTGCATCATTTATCTGGTACTCAAGGTCCTCACCAGCTTCCGATGTTTGGCTTGGTTAGTCGTTGACCTAGACCAGGTCAAACGTGTCAAACATTTTGATATGAATAAAATAACCACAGAATGTAGGCATGATATTGCACAACTCACCTCATCAAAATCACCTCCTTCGAGGGAAGTGGAATTTTTTCGTCTCACGTAGCCATCAGTCCCTGGTAGTTTGCTAGCGGAAGGTCGTATGGTTACGGCCGACCCCTCCGTAATGTATGAGTTGAAAGTATCGGACTTATTCCTCCGCATCTCCACTTTCGATGACTCTACCGGATGCCTCGTGGTCACCGTGGATCGTCCATTAGCGAAGCGAGCAGTCAATATTTCTTCCGAGGATGGCAAGTCACCCAGTTCCGTAGTGATACCCAAACTACCGAGACTGCACCTTTGCTTGAGCTCTCTGAGTAAAGCACAGAATTCCGCACGAAGAATTCCTAGCTCTTGTTCGGTGAGACGGTGTCGAACGGGGCCTGTGCACGTCGCCGCGTCGGTTAATTGTTGCTGAACCCAGCGGAGACGGTCTTGAAGCTAGTAAGGGATAAACTTCAATCGAGTAATGTGGTTGTGCTGGGAAGATCATGACAACCAACTGGAGTTTTTGACGGTTTTATATTAATGGGGACGCCAGACTGATAATACCAGGCTGAATGTTCACGAAATTAGCTTTTCAGCAATGTGTTCTCCCTCATCAGACCATACGAAGGGAGCGATTCCATGCGGTTTCCTCTAGTGCGGGCTGTAATCCCGTCTGAATATGCTTTACAGAACCAACCATAGTAGTCCCTACTGAATGACGATCTCCCTAGAGTGAAACGAATATATTCCGGAAATACAGTGTTTCTGACGAGTGGGTTGTAAGTAGCACGGGAAATAGGAGTGTTTCTCCCCTGACAAGTCACTCATCTGGGTATGAAGAGGTCTTAAATGTGTTCCATGAGAGGAGGAACCTGTCCCATTTTCACAAATTTTACGGAGCTAAGTTTCGTCGTGGCAAAAAGGCTCGTTCTTAGGTTCCTGAGTTACGCCTACGAGAGTGCGCTTTGTTTGTCTTGATTACTTATTTATCTATTGGACTAGAACCCTAGCCTTCCCATTTCTTTTCATTCTTCTTTGAAGCACTTATTCTTCCTTGTTGTGTTAGTTAAGCACCGGTATTCACCATGGGTGTAGCACTGCTGAGTATGCACCCACCAACATTCAAGGCTTCGTTTGTTGAAAGCAGCAATGGGTGCCTCAATATTCTGTGGTGACCAACTATAACGTGAGTACTGATATCCCAGTCGGACAACTAAAAGAATGGAGTATGCAAGCAGGAAATATAATCGGGTGGTATCCCTTGTAATTCAAAATCTGATGCTTACCGAGCAATAGCTTCGGAGAGTCTGAGTTTAACCAGATAGAGCAGTTTCGAATCAATCCATGGACTACCGTTCGTCTTAAATCTACCCCTGATACATGGCTTCTGTCGCACTTTCTTCGAGATCGCGAGACTCATGGCGTTTCCCAAAAGGCAAAATTACACCACATTGAACAGGATTGTGGACTTATTGGGAAGGTGAGTATTCTGTGGACCTTCCAGGGGGTCTGTGTACCCACTCGGCCATTTACACCATAGAAATATCCACCTTCCACATGTGGTGGGCCAGAGTGAGGATACAATAACCATTCTTGAAGCGGGCTACTGAAATTTCTGGAACGGTCGCGGTAACCGTGACGGATCGAGAGGTTAATCTTTTGGCCAATCAGAGGGCGACGGCGTCTTATCCGTAGCCAGTTTGACACATGGTCTTTTGTTTGACGTGATACTATTCACGGAGGTTCGCATCCGAGAATCCCGTTTAGGCACTGGCTATCAGGCATTGCGTGCGGCCTCGTGCGTACTTCGATAGCATGAGATCTGTTTCCCAAACGAACGCCACAAGTGATGTATGTGGCCTCATTTTAGGTTTGAATTATTCTAAGCAGCTGTAGCGGACATTTCCATGTCCCCTCAACCAACTTCACTTAATTTGTCCAGTACATGGGTGTTTACTAGATCCCACGACTTACCTGCTACACAGACAACACAGTCAACACGCACAGACTCGCGCGCGCGCAGGGAGCAGGACGTCAACCTCTCCACAAGTCCACGGACAATCATGGAACACGTGTAGCAGCCAAACTGCGGAGAAAACACGTTACCGCCGTCCGGACTTTCACCAAGGGACTCTCACATACGATAAGTTCCTTTATTGACTTGCTCCCATTTCGCATTGTATTCATTTTCATACGTGCCGCAACCACACTAAAAAACTTCTATTAGTGCACATTCACCTTCTGATTTGTATTATGGCTATCGCCACCTGTGCACTAATACAGCTTCCGTTTCCTATATTTACTTGTCGCCGATGGGATGAATGAGATTAGAATCCGCTATTTTTTGTTATGGAAGATGGCACGAAGGAGAAGCTCCTCATGTTATGAAGAATTATCACACATATTTTCCCTATGCCTACGGCTACTACCCTTTACTTCACCCAGGTCCCCAGCAGGTATCGCGCTGGCTTTCGCCTCACCGACAGGTGTGAGGAAAAATAAAACGTTGCCATAGTTAAGCAGACAGCAACTAGCGACAAGTCCACCGATCGTTTAGCAAGCCTTCCTGGAACAATGAATTCTCGATCAGACATCTTCCAAGACGTTAACCTCCTTTGGCACTAGGTGGCCTACTGTTCATGCTTATGCCTGTCACAACGTCAGGCACAATCCGTTGAGGAAAATCATGACTATCATCCTGTAACGAGCATGATATCTGCGATTTTTTTTTACAAAGTCTTGTTGAAGCTCTTGACATCTTTGCTAAGAATAGCCTTAAACACACTAGTGGCAAAGATTGCGCCGATTTCATTGTCGATCACTTGCCCCAACTTAGTTAATATAACGTGATCCAAAAAGCACTGGCTTCAATGATTGTCGGACACCCGGCAGTTGAGAATTTCCGCTGGGATCAAAACTAGCTAGTTTGACTCACATTTAAAAGCCCTACCTTGAGTTATGCAACTCGAAACAGAGTTAGATTTTTAAAAATCCATTGTCTTGACTATTCAATTATCTCAATTACTGTGGACAGACAAATCCTGACAGATAAGCTTCAAGTTTCCCTTCTGCACACCTCGGCTGGTTTCTGATTATTGTTTTGTTTGCTTGCACTGAAAGAAACCAAATCTCACACTTAACACACTTAACACTTAACCAATGTTCTCTAATAAGCTGTCTAACTGAGGTTTTACCGTCATCCCATTAGCCCCGATGAAACACGCTCAGGATTTTGTCTTTTATTCATTAAATTGTCGACTTCAGTTTGCTTCAAATTTGATGAACCAAACAGTAACGTACCGGTGATAAGATGATTAGCGGAGTGATAAGATTACACGTTTGCAGTGACAACAAAAAGTGGTGGGAGTCTATTAGTCTGTGCTCGCTAGTCTGTAGTTTAGTGCTCTTCTGTGGAGGCACAGCTATCTGATAAAGTTAGTGTAAACCTTTGTACCAGAACGAAAACATAAACGCGGACAATTTTGTTATCTGTTATCGAGAGCAACTGCAGCAAGCCAAGAACCGGTACGGAAGTTGCGCGAACACAGCTTATCAGAAGTTCTCGTAGACTCCTTCCTACGTAGCCATCACGGTTGAAAATACGATGACCGACGCGGTTCTAGGGGATTCGATAGTCATTATGTCGTAGTGCGCCTATGTAGCATCCAGGCAGTCACTCAAAGTTGTTCTGTCAACCGTACATGAAACAGTAGCAAACGGGAGGTAGATTTGGGGACCTCCATAGACGAGTTGGGTGCATAATTTATGGACAAACTTTGATGTATTCAGTGTATTCGCCACAGATGTATCACGCATAACGGGTGACAAGTCAAATGAAGTATGTCAAGATGTCTACGGTACCTCTGGAAAACAAGCAGAATTTACCGGGAGGTCGAGGATTATCTATCGGTTGCAAAACACAAAAACATGAGGCAATCATCATCATCATCCCTGTAGTCGGTAGTTTTAACATTCATACTTCGTATTGCAGCGATCACTATTATTAACATGATGGGGAAACTAAAAGGCGAAAAACTCGAAGTACCGTAGAGTGCTTATAGTGTGACTGATACATGAACGGCAAATTTATGCACTTAAATCAGCAGCTCGAATTCACGGAAGCCATTCGGGACTCGACTGGGTCATGGTTGTCAGTATCTCCAACCACTGACGTACACCATCTAAGGTTGGTGGTTTCAACTTTCTTTTACTCTTCGAGTCTCACAGCAAGCTGAAAATATCTTGGCCTACGCATCAGGAAAAAATGAATAGGGTAGGGCAGAGCCAATACGTTCGTATGGCTGTCGTGACACATAAACGATGTTCCAATGCGGCAGCCGGGTTTGTAGTAATCTAACTGAGTTGTTTTTATATCCCAAAAAGTTGTATAAAAAGACCGTCACTATCTGTAAGACATCTGGAGCCGAATGAGAAGCTAATATGTTTTGGAAAAGTAATAAATCCATCGATTCCTTTCATAAATTTCCTAAATGATAACGTAATTGGCTCTCGCTACTAAATTACACGGGTAAGGTGAATTCGATGGGGCAAATCGCCCTGTGCAGGACGAACCCCATAATTTGGTGCTTCTGATCATTATAGAGTTGTCTCAATTTTGAAAGGAATTATTAATTGACTAAAACATACAAAGTTACCTGTTCCGTAGGTTGATTTGACTGACATTCATAGGCTGCCGCATACCACGTAGTATTGGGAGACTTATTTGTCAGTGCTGAAGGCTCCCTGTGCTCTCGACCAGAAGGTGGCCTGTTCTGTCTTCTGGGTGACTCACTAGAGCTAGTGTTGTTTTTGGCGTCCGTAAGAGGGGCGGTTGGTGACGCACGCATCCGCCTCGACTGTCTCAACTCTGCAATAGATGGTGTATTCGAGGTGACCGGTACTTTTTGTGGACTTGGATCTGGTGATGACGAGGAAGGAGAAGTAGACGGCGGAGAAGATGGAGAAGAGAACGCGGAGTCTTGGTGGAGTACGAGGTTAGGGTTGAGGGATGGACTAAGGTTGACAGCCGAGGTTGCCGAGGAGCGGGGCTCGATGTTTGAACTTTGAGATAACCATCGATCAGCCGGGGTGGTTACATGTCGACCAGCCAACAGACGGCACATTTTGCGAAGCTTTCAAGGAAAGACAAGGATTTATATGGCAGCGGTATGTTGAAAATCAAAGAAAAATGATTTTATTAAATGGGTTTAGATGTGAGGTAAACCTGATGCCTGAATATGATGCCGTACAATATATTTCAACAAGAAGACTTATTTGCATAACAGTTTGGTTTCCAAGACAGACTCAGCTACACCTGTCGTTTATGACATTTTTCAACTGAATGTGCTGCACAAAAGTCGCCTCATGTTTCAGTTGATACGATGTTCGAGGTATCGCAGTATATTTTCATAAAGGAAGGTCGCCACAAGGTTGTTAAAAACAGAAATTCGGGGAGGCCTTTGCGAAGCACATTCACTTGAAGGATATCATAAGCGAGAGCAGTTGAGTCTCTCGTGAAAACCAAATGGATGTTCAAATGATTGTATTTATTGAAATCCGTCTAACTTGGATTCAAGTAAAACATAAGGTTGACGGAAACTCGGATTTGAGCCTTCCTGATGAACCTCAAGACGGACGAAACTGGTCGTGGGTTGTCCAGCAGATTTCAGCAACCGTGTGAAGTGCAGTGTACCTGTGTTCACCTTTACTTTGTTGATTTTCAAGGACATATCAAAGTCACTGTAGGTACACCTGCAACCCAATCAACCCCGCACTGACGATGTCATCGCCCCTGGCGATGAAATGTTTGAAATCCGACTGCCAAGATCGGCGAACAGCCCAACAACTAAACACCACACCACAATGCTGATGGCGGTTTTGGCATGGATAAGAGAACTTTTTAGCCACTAACGACGGGCCGCATCAAGATGAACAATCCAGACAGGTGAATGCCGTCTCTGATCCCGAAGGTGGGTGCATGTCAACCAACAAAAGTGTATCCCAACAGAATAGTTATGCAAATTCCCTAATATAAGAGGAAGATTATTGAAACTAGGGCCACGGAGAAAACTTGACCTAGTTCTTGTTACCAAAAATGTGGAAACCCTGTATTTCAGGGGTAATAGCGGGTACTGGGAAGACCAACTTCAACTGTTCATTGTCACCGGACAGTTATCGTATTATACTTTGAACCACAGTCCGCTTAGTAGTTACTGGGTTCTAACCGTAGCACGTGCTATGAACAGTGAAGGAGAGGTCACCGTCTACGGTAGGTCTACGTGAAACTAGTAGAAGAAAATTGTTAAATGAATTCGAGATCTGAACGTTCAAAAAAGGTGTTATCAATTACCTTCCGGATTTCAGGATATTTATTACAGCTATGCTGTGTATTATATGGTCGATGAAGGGTAACGCAGTCAACTGAAGAAAGTAGCTGGGTCGACTCACCTGGACGCGCATTGCATGTAAGATCAGGTCCAGGTTGGGGTCGTTGTCCAGAGCGCGGTCAGCGGAGAACGTCAGTGACAACTGACCAGCGTAGGTGGTGAATGTGACGCTCAGATTTCTGCAAATTACCCATTTTGAATCCAGATCTGTTTGTGAACTGGTAGGGACCGTTTCGACCGGTGGTGAGCAGTAATCAAGTCGTGGGGAAGGCATCCAAGTATCGATTCGCACAACAGGAGATCCGCCGATATAAACTAGACCGGCATTTGCGTTGGTCAGATGACGGGCCAAGGCACGGAAACTAGTGCCCAACCGGGGCGGATAGATCGAGGTCCCACGAGGAAGACGTTGACGTAGCCGGCGTCGAAGAGAACGCGCCTCGGCAGATTTACTTGCCAACAAAGACATGTAGGCCAATCGGCGTGTCGGTGGCATCTGGTAAGTTTGGTGCGGTTCTTGGTCTTTTGAGTGGCCAGTGAACGGTGATACGACTTCCACACCGGTCACACTCACACTGGCTTTGGCCGAACCACCACAATTGGCCTCAATCCAACCAGCCAAAGGATGGGGCATCAGGGTGTAGAGTATGGTTCGTGCCCATGCCAGACATAGCGGGTCAACAGAATTGTTCAATTCAATAAGGCGTTGTCTGGTTTCCCACAACCGAGGAAGCATACCCTCGGTATTGATTGGCAGACAAATATCAGCTAGCACGTGACGTCCTGGACACAGTGTATTCATTGTGGTTGGTGGAGCGGTCATGGCAACCATTCGGTGCTCGTTTCCTACTAATCCCGTCTCGACCAGGCTGTCTGCTTGGTGCCGCTGGAGTTGTGAATTCTGATGCATTTGCTGCTTGCGAGGACGGTGAACTGAACCTGTAGTCAGCTGATGGCGCAACCGGTGTTGATGGGACAAGAATCTGGTGATCCCGGTGCACGGGGAAGCATCACATCCTTGAACATTTAACTGTTGGACGGATCCGTTTTGCAGGCCACTGATGGAACAACCAGGAAGAACCGGAACCTCTACCGATAAGAACGAAAGCAAATCCGGTGGGTGTTTCAGTCCAACAGTCTGTAAAACGAGAGTGATGATGGGAGAGGGAATCGAGGTGATTACGACATTGCTCAATAAGAAACTCCGAAAAGGTATGAATGAAGGAGTAATTTTTCAGAAGGAACCGTGAGTAGGGGTTTAAAGAAAATTTTGGAAGCGGACATACAAAATCTGTCAGACGAGCTGCATGTTTACACCACCCTCGTACAATTTCTACAGATGAGTAATATCCCAGCTTCACTAATTCCAGTCTACTTCACGAATGAAGTAAACCCTCTGCAGACAAACACCTGTAGGCGATATTGATCTGGGATATGTACCCTCCTGAAAAGGAGGCTTGACGAGTATGCGATGTCTCATGGTTAAGAAAAAGTCCCGTGTCTTTGGTGTTTTCAGCGACAGAGGGTAGCATGTTTTTAATGCACACTGCAACCATGTCACACATTCAGTAATGTATGTTGACCTGTTGATCGGCCGTAATCACATCCTGTTCATGAGATCCGGTGACGTAACGCGATGGCATGTACTTTTTCCAGGTTACAACACAGAATCAGCTGGTTCGAATGGAACATTCAGTTTTTAGAGTGCGAATTTCATACAATTTAGTTTCAAGAAGAACACAGATTGTTTGCGCCTACTTGAAGAGCCCCAAGGACGGTGAAACCGGTCGTGGGTTGTCGAAGAGTTTTAAAAAACTTTGTGAGTAGTCTCTCTTATGAAAATATACTGCGATATCTCGAGTATCGCACCAACCAAAACATGATACGGTCTTTGTACAGCACATTCATTTAAAGAATATAGCGAACTAGAGAACCAACTGGATTTCCCGTAGAAACCAAAGTGGCGTGGTAGTGAGGACACCACCAGAGTTTTTAGAGTGCGGTATATCTCCTGTTTTGCTAGCAGGTCCCCGTTTTGGTTGCGGCTAGCTTTTCCAACACATTTACTTATGCAATGAATAGAGCAAGTAATTCCGTACTTTTGGCATATCCGTGACCATATAGAGGTTGGTGAAAATGTCGGGTCTGTGCTACCAGTTGCCCTGACAAGCGAATTGTGTGCGTAGCGGAGTCATGTGATGTTTTGGCACCGTTCATTTTCTCCCCAAAGATGGACAAAAACAACGGAGCAGTTTGAAATGAACTATGGTGAGCAAATGGAAGAACAGTGGAGTGTAATTCGTTATGGAAAGTGAATATATCTGTCTAAAAGTAGTACAGAAGCGTGCATTGGAATCCTAATGTTAGGAGCCATATGACCAACGTTTCGTTGAATTAGATTCTCCAGTCCTTTTAAAAATACAATAGCTCAGCTGCAAAACCCTTTCAACGCATAGGTGCCATGCCAGCTGAAGGAAGTAGGAGAGATGAGCTATTACCAGGTTGCCCAACCCTAAAACGAAGCAGTCGAGGTGCAGAGATTGGGCCTAGCCACGGACCTCCCGGGCAGTAAGTTCGGGCCTTAACCATTGGGTTACCTCAAGTTCTTTCAGTGCTGAGCCAGTCTGCACTCTGGGCTTGTTTTGGTATAGTATGAACCAATTTGGTGAAATAACCACCAATCTGGTAGATTTATGCTGTTGCGTTTTTTCCTGGATGGCCGTTCACATGCATTTGCCACGACGATTAATTAGGAAGGCATTATTCCCAAAGACATTCCTCAGCCCTGCTTGGACAGCAACTAGAGGCCAACTGCGTCATTTGCCAAATCTACATAGCCCGTGCCGGACTTTAGTCCTAAGACGCATCCTGATTGCAGCTGATCAATGTGCTGCCTTCACATCGCCGACTCACGTACCAAACAAGCCGGACAAGGGACTGGCAGTACCCAGTGAAAGCCGAACGCCGCGTTGAATATAACTAAACAAAGTATTTACAGTTGATTCCCATCATTGCTAGTTAAAAATACTGCATCTGGTGGTCAGGATATTGGACAGTTTCAACGGTGTGCAGCTCTCAGTGTTTTCAATCCAAGTATCCACTTCGCCACACACAACCCAAATCTCCACACTTGTTGCCACTTGATCTGCGCGGGCCACAAGTGGCCTGAATTTGGCTCATATTGTCGTGCAAATCCAGCTACCTCACTAGAAACGACCGCAGGGCCTAACGCTGAAACAGCCACTCGCCCGATGGACAAAGTACTAGTGAGGTGGCGTTCGACGTGTGCCTGCTTGATCAGCACACGTGTGTCCGAAAGCAGTACTTCAGCGAGGGATTCATAGCACAGGCACTGTCACGGACACTGTTTGCATACACCGAGTGTCAGGAACGTTCAGCAACAAGATGGAAGATGCACATTCCGTCAACACCAGGGGAACCTGGCACATTCCTAGCCCTACAAATCCACATATGCAATCACCTCAACGCGGAACTAACGATACTACTACCACTAATAATAATAAATGTTGAATTAGCTGTGGCATCCTCTAATTGAACCGATATCGAGGGTTGTGATACTGTCAGGTTCTTTGGTCCTAAAGGGGAACAATGACGAAACTAGGATAGGGTTCCAAAGACAGAATTTTTAGCCAGTGGTCTCTCACACTAATAGCTGAGCTATCTCAGCTACAACACGGAAATGCAGTGTAGCAGAGATCCCAAGACGTTCACCTGGTGATACGACTCCTGTCGCTCAGAAGTGTAAAAAACTCACAATATGGTTGTCCCACAATCGGTTCGGGAACGCGTTTGAGTGGATATACTGTTAGCTTATTCCTTGTATACCAGCTGAAAAGGCGGACTTAGCGTTCACGAATAGTTAGCTTGAGCTTCCTCTACATAAAGCGTAGTTCACCTGGGTTTTTCGATATCTTCCTTTTTTCCCGACTTTACGATTTTAGATGGCTTGAAGAGGTGCACGGTAAGGCTCCAAGCTAGTGGGTGTGGATTTACTGACGAACAGTATGCTAAGCGACACTCACTGATGGACGACACTATCCTTGTAATTACTTCGTGATTAGAAATGGAAGCGGTGGTCTTGAAAAAGGGCAGACTTTACGTGATGTGCTTCAAGCTTTTTTCTTCAAGACCTATTTTAAGTCTTCATTTCTGAAACATGTGCACAGATAGGTAGTTAAACCAGGGTGGACTGGAACTTCAGCACTTTCGTCCAGAGTTAACAACAAACATTTAGAGGTGACAAGATCCGGGTTCGTAATCAAGTGAACCAAAAAGTATCAGTTTAATTCAGCTCGTCGGCCATGACTAGTGCACTGAATGCTATAGTTTTGCTCATCTGTTGCAGAGGAAAGCCGATCACAAAATAAGATGGCTGAACAAATTAAGTGTGGATAGTCTGGCGCTGAGTTGACTTCAAAGATAAGTAGAAAGAATTAAACAGTTAGCGGTGCGGGTTTACAAATGAGTAGTATTGTTTGCGTGACTGATTACACCTGACTACCAGGACGTTTGCAGTTCATTTTCAAATCATGAAGCTTGCGTCCACATCATTCTAACTGATGCAACCATCTGATACGCCCACAGCATTTGGTACACCTGGGTCTCATTTCTACTTGGTCACATCGGTGTCACGCAAGGTATTAAATCGGTTACCTCACAAGCCAGACCAGTGTCAGACCAATGAGGAATCCGGTCAAATGTCACGAACAGTTAGTACGTGATTACTTACGCGTGATTACCTAGTGAAACCACCGTAAGTGCCTCCGGGATGGTGGCCTTTCTCCTAACGGAAGATTCGCTCGATGACACTAATGGATTTGTATGTCCGTTTTACGGATGGCTCTCAGAGTTCCTATAAAAAGGGCTTAAGTCTTCGGTGCGAGAACATTATCGCAGTAGATGAGGCATTAAGGCAGTCCTATCGAAGAACTTGCCAGTATAGGGCGGAAATATATAAATGATCTGTAATGTGACAAACGTAAGTGAACAAGAATATCGTGCACCCCAAAAAGAGAATGAACGGACAATACGGTAATGGAATGAGCCTGCGAACTTGTAGTCTCGATACTCTCTTAGAAAGGAAAGTCTTGTGAGTTGACGAACATCATCGGATTGGGAGCTCAGTCAGTAGGAACCCATTGAAAAAATGCATTGAGTCTTCGTCCTTCTGACTGAAAAACTGTGATACTATAAAAACAAGGATCTACTAAGTAGAAACCTATGTTTATTCGCCTTAATTCTGCCCGGTTTGAAAAGTAGGATAACATTTTCCCCTGGTGTCTCCAGCAAATTTGCTCTATCAAGCGCAATAATTCAGAGAATAAAACTGAGTTCTCTGAAGTTTAGTTTACCGTGATCCGAGCAAATATGAGCAAATATGGAAACGTACATAAATGGTCACCGATCCTATGATTGTGAACTGAATGAAGTGGAATTCAGAAACAGTTTACGGTGCATTCCCGTCGCACATTTTCTGCCGGACATTCGCTACTTATTAAACTCATTAGTAGTTAAAATTGTCCACGTGATGGATGCTCAGGGAGAACGCAGTCCAACGGCCCTCACGAGAGACTCATCTGAATCCCAGATGGATATTTCATTTGTGATGTTCATTTTCAACGTATTCATGAATCAGTCGGTACGGTATTCGAGGTATAACAGTAAATTGTATGGACGAGACATCCAGCCGGGACTCAGATGTAGTGGAAACCAAAATGATATGCAAATGAGTGTTTTTGCCGAATTTCATGCAGTTTGGGTTCAAGTAGAACACAAGGTTGACGGGAACCAGGAGTCTGTGCCAAACTGGTTAACCCCAATAAGGGTGAAGCCGGTCGTGGGCTTCTGATGAGTTTTCAGCAATCTTGTGGCTGGCGCGTTACTGTTCAGCCGTATTCCATCTGCGGTTCCTTAAGCCTTTCAAACAGTCTGGTCCGACCAGCAACATGCTCTTACCTACATATTTTCCACACGACTTGAATATGGAGCAGAAATGTACCTACAGTGAAATTCAGCAAAATCAAATGAAACCAAATTCGATCAACTCTGATCGTCACTGAGCCCCTGTTCATTGCATAACGCCTACAAGTGTAAGAGTTTTGACTGGAAAACAGGACGTAGGACCACGATCCACAAGGGTTGTCAAAAACCAGAAAAAAGCTATCGACAGAATGATGGATAGAAAACAATCAGACTGTGCTAATCAGTTCACTGGTTACCTGGTGGTAGGCTCGTAGTCCGCCAGCTAACAGACTCAGAATAATTTCTGAATAGGACGCCTTGGTCACCTGACGCACGCGACTGAGCTTGACCAATGAAAGAAGCGCACATTTGTAGACCAACCGGTTACCAATAAACCCGGACGGACTCGAACTGTCTGATGTCGTTGTCGTGGTGGTTAAACTTGGCAACCTTGCAGGACTGAGTTTTCGGTCCTCTGGAAATGATGTAGCCCTAAGTGCCCAAATACCCACATCAGCTCGGGTGAAAAAATATTTGTGCAGAATCACAGCTGGGCCAGTAACCAAGGCGCGAATTAGATCACAGCAAGTGGCGATGGTGGCCAAAGAACTCGACCAAAATGTGTACCACCACTGGGCTGCCTCTGATTCTTCCGGATCTTCGTCCTCCGGAGAGGGAAGTAAGGAGGTCTGACACTCTTGTGTAGCGATACTTCCGGACACGGTCAAGATAGGCTTGCTAGTTTGTGCGTTTGTGTTAATGCTCTGTTGTTCCGGGCCTAATTCATTGATCGGTGCCGCCTTTGGGTCAGACGAATGGCAGTGTAACTTGGCCACATACGATTTCTGGGGTACCGTCGGTTTGGTTGCTGGGCGTGCACTTGCAGCTATGAGACAGGCGTCAGAAAAAAAGGAAGTAAGACGAACTACCTGCGTTTTTTCGAACAAACAAGAGGAACATGCATGGACAAGTTTGCCAAAGAAACAGTAGCAGTATAAAGCTGAAAAATAGTGAGCAACGGATTTCGAAAGTAAGGCAAAAGTTATACAGATGCAAGACAGTAACGTTTAGTTGTGCAAAATGATTACACGCAGTCGAGCTGGTCGCTCCTTAAAAGTACGGAAAAAACATCATTGCAGTGATGCCTCGAACGTGAATGACCCCTCGCTGACTTACCACAGTCATTGTTCCTTTCGGAGGAAGCATGGCTATTGGCTCTTTCTTCGGAATCTGAGATCTGACCACGCCAGCGACGCTTCCTATCGGATGTACCGTCATTACCGATAACCAAGTTAGCCGGAGCGCACTTGGGGCTGTGCACACGACTTGGTAAGTCAGCTAAACAGTTAGTCAACAGGTGGACCAGTGCTTTGCAATCGTCTGAGAGGGCTGCATGCAGCCGAAAAATCAGCAAGCTTCCAATACCAGCAGAACCAGACCGACGACACACAAAGGAGGTGGAGGACGAACTGCAACCAGTGGATAACTTTCCATCTACCCCACGGTTGTACGTGTTTGACTTTGTTGACAGGTATTGACTGCGATCAGTTATTCGTTTGGTAGCCGTATGGTCTAGTTCATCCGACTCGGTCACGCTATCCGCATCCGATGCCTCATTCACATCAGCCTGAAGGGGGCGATTCGAAAAAAAACATCAAGTGGATAAAACCTTTCAACTGTTGTTCCCTCATCTAAACAGGACGGATCAACATACTTCGGGGAAAATGCCCACAGTGTAGGTTGCTTCTGACGAGAGTGCATTTTATGCTTTGCAGCGATGCACTAAGATTTCTCACTGATTTGACAAACATGTGAACTCTGTGACGGGTGTTTTTGTGGAGCGGTGAGCCAAATACACAAAAAGCAACATCTATCCGTGGACCCGGAGCACGGTTTTGGGTTGTACAATTTTAAGTAGTAAATTGACAACAGATTTGACACGGAACGTTTTGAGACATCATCGGCCGAACAAGCACAGGTCGAGCCGGAACTTATGTTCAGTCGCTCTGGATATACTTATCTTGGAGATACTCTAAACCGTGAGTGTAAAGTTAACTGCACGAAATGCACATGGCGTCGTGTTAATTTAAATGATCATAGAACTTGTTTTTGAAGTCAGTAGCACATAATGGGTTTCAGTAACATTGATAAAAACGATCTGGTGTGAACATTTATGTCAACTACCGTGCAGAACTCGATACACAACCTTAATGCACTACTGACCAACTAATGTAGACTGTCAGATAATCTGCATTAGACTCTAGCTGCAGAGTTTTGATCATCCTTCGAAAACACAGAGAAATGGGCAGCGAATAAAATACATGAAGTTAGCTGTGCTTATATACCGGCCGGGTGAGACAAGTGCAACTATAGCTCTGTTCGCAGAGCTTGGTAGTTGACTTGCAAGCGGTCGATCACCAATCGAGGTGACATGGTCTGTGAGAGTTGACTGACGGTGTCACCTCGTCTGCAATCCAGCTGCATGCAAAAAACAAGGATGACCTTTCTAAATATTGTGAGAACAAGCCAGCAGAAAACCGATGAGGGGGGAGGGAGTGGATTAAGGCATCACTCAGGAGATATCAGCTCAGGAAGTTCAGGTTAAAAAGTCGATTCTAAACAAATCAACAGTTATCAAACATTTAAGTCGTCTCAGGCCTTGAAAAGCCGGTCCTTATCCGACTCATTTTTCGAATTGACGAGGGTGCAAGAGACTGTTATCGCATGGTTAATACAAGCATTCTCAGTGGCTAGGGAGTTGAAGCCACAGTTATTTGAGACGGACATCAGCCGGTCTAAATAAGGCTTGTTAGGACGAATGAACACGTTCTCTTTCAAGTCTTCTTCTAGATGTTGAACCTGCCAGACGCTTCGAAAACCTAATCGTCTTGACTGAAGGTCAACACGTAACGACCTGGTGCAGGCGTTGGGAACGGAGATGATTAGGCTGATGTAGCGATTGGCCGTTTGACCAGATGGACTGGGATTTCAAACCCTGTGGTAGCATTCCGCTTTGTACCGCCACAATGGACCTCACTGTGGTGTGACGGTTTGTACTCACCTCATCCACTGGGCTATAATATCTGGGAAGCCCGTGTGATAATCGTGGTTACTCATCAGGTTGAGCAATAGATAGGTCTGAACAACATGGTCTAAAAATCTTCCTTATTGAAATTGGGATATGTGCGATGACTTGGTCCTCAAGAGGCGAACTATGATCATCGCTGCTTTGTAGTCGGATATTTGAGCCAAAGTTTTAGGCGCTCCTACCACCAACAATCACCAACTCCACAACCACAGATAACCTCATGGCACACTGGGCGTTGCAAGGTGCCATCAACCGGGTCATCTTACTAACCGTAGGAAGGTTAAACAACGTTTTACTTCTTGGATTTTCACATTTTTCATTCTCTCCTAGCCCATCTCATAAATATTGATCTGTTTGTAGACGACTACATAAGAAATGACAGCTCGATTCGCCTTACATCGCCGTTAATTCAACGTTTACCGACCTTATGGCACACAAAATCGACTTTGGAACCTAAGTTCACACCCCGAATCACAGTTTATCCAATCGTCCTTAATGCCCGTAATCTGGATATCAGGCCCCTCCAACTCTTCTGCTGGATCTGCTTTTCCGTGACATATTTTTTACAGGGAGTGAGAATGAGAGACGAACTTACGACTGGTGGCCCATCAGTGCCCTCCCGCTTGAGACTACGGAACCTTGGTGCAGTTTAATTGCTACGGCACTGAAGTAGATGGACTGCGTAGTTCAAACCGGGTTGCATTTTTAGAGTTGAATTTCGAGGCTCGAAAAACGGTAAAAGCCTGTTTCAATTACGCGTTAACTGTTTCACCCGAAATAGCCGAGATCATCTAGCCATGTGCTGCCTGTTGTTTGCGGTTTCGCAATTCTTAGGTTGTCCCATAGCTTGTCTTCCGCTCACTGTGGCACATCAAAAAGCACGGTAGCTTAAGACATTTTTCAATCAAGACTTAGGAAGAGAAAAGCTGCAGATGTCTTCAGTGAGAAATCACAGAATTATCCACAAGGTCATCCTAGAACCCTCGTGATGGAACAAGGGGCGCTGCGTTAAAAATATTGATTCTGACTGACCCATATTTTGACCAATTTTTGTGGTCTGTAGCCTGCTCTGCGTACATTCATCCAGTCGACATCATGTTCAGTTATTCCGCATGGCTCGTCTCCAGACACCTTTACGTAGGAATCGATCTAGGGCACGTATGAACCATGCCGTCAATTAACTGATGGTGGTACGGAACAGTTGCTGACTGACGCTTGCTCTGGAATACTCATGTGGACAATGACCACATTCTAACTCATTGCTACTTTAATTTACAGTTTTCTGGGGCACGCCAACTGCGCACACCTCCTTTGGCTGTTGAAGAGCTCGCAGAAGTAAAAGCAGAGCCCTTCCCCTCTTTCTTTTAAATTAGAAATCGTGTGTGTACTGTACAGGGATTATAGCCGACAGTTTCATTCGCTGACGGTCTGCGGAGATAGAGTAGACAGCTACGCATTGCAGGTGGTAGTTTATATAATTGATGCCCTAATTCAGAAGTGACAGCGTACTTTGAACTGGGGAGATCGAGAGGAGAAGCTGTGCAGTGATGGCGGCAACTTGAATGCATGCGTGTGATTGAGTATGCGAGTGAGGAATGTCTGACAGTGTCTCTAAACACTGATGTGTCCCATCTCAGGGTCCCGATCCAGGTAGACGGCAATGACCAAGGCAGCTGATTTTGCTGGTAGTGGCTTTAACCCTTTTCTGGAAGTTATTTCTCGATCGTATCTGGCTCTTCACCCTCCACGGGTTTGTGCCAGAAGGGTTCCAAGATGAATTCGGTTGACTGGGATTCGGAGCATGTGGAGAAGCTAAAGCAGTCTGTGGGATGTAACCAGTTCATCGATTGTGGAGGATCATTTCTCATGAGAACCGTTCGACATGGCTCAGCAGTACTGATGCAATTTTCTGGCAAACCCGAGCAGTGCACCGAAGTCATCGATGGTCAAACAGCATCCTCAGCGCCCGGCGACCAGGTTTCCGATCCATGCAACAATATGAGGTGCACTACAGCTGTGTAAACCTAACCCTTGACAGATAAGCTGATGTCACGTCTGTTCTGCAGATGATGGAAGTTAATAAGCGCTTCCTTAGCCTTCCAATTCTAAATGGGGATCACATATTTGACCAAACCACCAGGACTGTTACAGATGCCTCGGTAAACAGGTTTGCCTACTCTCTCGATCGGCCCATCCGCAAGCATGAAGTCTGCGTTCGAGCCCACCAAGTCTTGCAGCAGCATTTCACACCTATTTTTGATGGCCTGAACCGCATTCCCAATCGTGGGGTAGGATCGCTTAGATTAGTTGATATCAACTGAAGTAGGCTGAAGTCGTCTGCGAACTCCGTATTTTGGGCGAGCGCCTGGGAGCACTTCGACCCCACAGGCATTAAAGGCCTGAAGTGAGCCTTCTACTTCATATCAGTGGCGAAGCTGAAGAGGAAGGATGAACAAGAACACGAGCGCCTGGGAGCACTTCGACCCCACAGACATTAAAGGCCTGAAGTGAGCCTTCCACTTCATATCAGTGGCGAAGCTGGAGAGGAAGGATGAACAAGAACGACCTTGCCTAACACCACAATGTGGTGAATACAGGTGAGAGCTCACGCGTCCACAAGTATAGCGTTTTAAAAGGGTTAGTAAATAACAATAAATAATCATTCGGCTGCACTATCCTTCAGCGCATAACTGCCAGGCACCAGAAGGAAGCACGAGGGCTGAGTTACTGCCAGATTGCGACATCGTACTCGTTGCTTGTTGGCATGGATCTCCTGGCATCAACTGGGACCAGCGATCTCGACGATTTCCAGTTGATGTCTTTTGAGCCTATCAGAGTAGTTGGACAGATAGCGCTCAACATTGTCAACATAGCTCCTTTCATACTTTGCCACGCTTCACCCATGTGACAGCTATCAGGACAGTGTGAGCGTACTGCAGAGAGTAGTTGAGCTAGCTCAGATCAATACTGATACTGCTGAGTTATTGTAGCTCATGAAAATAATGAAGTGGAATGCTTTCTGTTAAATTGTGAGGGATTGAAGGAAAACGAATTGTCAGACGTGCTCACACTATGGACTGGTCGGAATAAAGACGTAATTTCCAGAAGGAACAGCAGTCTTGAATTACGGCTCAACACCGGTAGCTGATAGCCTATTATCCCACTGAGTTCACGGGTGCTTTGCACTTAGTGGCTGCCAGGTTACACGTTGCGAGCTTTCATGTTAAAAGCTGGCCAGAGACAATTGATACTCAGCACACAGCTGGAGTAGTTACCTTCCGCTGTATGTGCAGCGAGCATTAGATCCGATTCAAACACCCAGATATGATTCCAAGGATACAGACGGCACCATTCCAAGTTTTGGAAGCACGCATTCTTAATAAACCTGATCAGAGTCACCCCATCTTGAGCTATGTGATTCGTACCTGCGAAGTGCAAAATCATTCTGAGAGACTTCGTCTTTGAACGAACAATCCACCGGTTTTCCGTTTATTAACGGTGCTGTCCTGGCGTCACACTTGTTTCACCGATGTGCGGGA